AGAGTGCCACTGCACTCCAGCCTGGGCGACAGAGTGAGACTCTGACTCAAAAAAAAAAAATTAATGTCATATTTATTTTGTTCCAAATTTTAAAATTCTAAGCATGCCACATGGCACGCACGCTCACGGCCACCCCAGCATCAATCTTCTGGGCTCCAGCGATCCTTCTGCCTCAACCTTCCGAGTAACCAGAACTACAGATGTGCACTACCACATCCGGCTATTTATTTATTTATTGTAGAGACGAGGTCTCTCGCCAGGTTGCCTGGGCTGGTCTCAAACCCACGGGCTCAGGCAATCCTCTCGCCTCAGCCTCCCAAAGTGCTGGGATTACAAACTGAGCCACCGAGCCCGGCCCTAAGCTCTTAACAGAATATGAACTTGGCCAACTATAGATGGAGATGGTGAAAAGAAATGGATTCCGGTTACTCGGGAGGCTGAGGCAGAAGGATCGCCGGAGCCCAGCAGGTTGAGGCTGCGGTGGCCGAGAGCGGCCACTGCACTCCAGTCTGGGTGACAGAGTGAGACTCCAACTCAAAAAAAAAAAAGAAAGAAAAGAAATGGGGTCAGAGGAAGGGTAACAGGGCTAGAACTAAGCAAGAAAACAGTGGGCGAAGTTACAAGAGGTGTATCTAAGACTAGTTAGTGAAACCTCAATGACTTGACTTGTAGTTGTTATGTGCTTACCTAGACCATGTCTATTATCCAAGCTCAATATTTTGTCTTTGCTCAATTCAATGAAATGTCTAACGGACATTGACTAAATATATCCCTGTTTAAAGATAGCAATAACATTTATAACTTTATAGCAGTATCTTCTTGTACATATTGTAGTCTTCCAAGAATTTTAGTGAATCATATATTCTACAGAATTTAGGTTTAATTATTTTTAAATAATCAATGCAGCCAGGCTCAGGGGTTCATACCTGTAATTCCAGCACTTTGGGAGGCTGAGGCAGGTGAAATGCTTGTGCCCAGGAGTTTGAGACCAGCCTGGACAATATAGCGAGACCTCGTCTCTACAAAAAAATTAAAAAATTAGCCAGGCGTGCTGGTAATACCTGTAGTTCCAGCTGCTCAGAAGACTGAGGTTGCGGTGAGCCATGACCGTGCCACTGCACTTCAGCTGGGTAATAGAATGAAACCTCGACTCAAAAAAACCCTAAAATTGTTGTTGTATATGTATAGTGTTTTAGGATATTATTTACAAGAATCTTATGTGACGTCCAGAAATGTTATCAGATTCAGTAAGTTAAAATTTAAGATGCCTAATTAGGTTTGAATTATAGACAGACAAATAGACAAACGATAACTTTTGTGCAATATTTGACACACACAGTATATACTTTGTTGTCTGTCTGGAATTCAAATTTAACTAGACAGCCTGCATTTTATCTGCAAGCCTAGTTTCCAACCACCTCTGCCATGACCAGCAAAACTAGTGACAGTATCTGTTCGTTCTTTCTCTCTCTCTCTCTCTCTGTCTCTCTTCCTTCCTTCCTTCCTTCCTTCCTTCCTTCCTTCCTTCCTTCCTTCCTTCCTTCCTGTTTTTGAGTCAGAGTCTCACTCTGTCGCCCAGGCTATTGCAGTGGCATGCTCATGGCCACTGCAGCCTCAGCCTGCTGGGCTCAGGCAATCCTTCCACCTCAGCCTTCCAAGTAGTTAGAATTACAGGCACATGCCACCACACCCGGCTAATTTTTTTTTTTTTTAATTGTAGAGATGAGGTCTCTCCTTGTTGCTCAGGCTGGTCTCAAACCCCTGAGCTCCGGCAATCCTCTCTCCTCCACCTCCCAAAGTGCTGAGATGACAGACATGAGCCACCATACCCAGCCCATTATGTCTATTACCTACAGATAGTAAGAGGAATGTCAGGATAAAGATGTGCACACCATTGGTCAGGAAATTAGGTGTCTAGGTGGCAAATCAACAGTGAGCTCTTTCTCTGCAGGTTCAATTTCTCTGAGCGACTGGGCAGCAGCGGTGGAGTCTGTGTTGCATCTGGGACTGCCTTGGAGGATGCTGAGGCCGCAGCTGGTGAGCAGCTCAGCAGACAACACACTGGAGTACAGGTCCTGGCTGGAGGACTTGGCCGAGGAACAACTGAGCCATGAGGTAACAGTGTGCTAATGGTGGGTGAGAGCATGCTGTGGACTAGGAAGCCACGTAGGGAGAACTCCAAGAAACAGCCAGCTCTCAAGATCCCAAAAAGCAGGATGGGTGAGCAAGGGAACAACCATTTGTTGAGATTCCATGTGTCAGACTTTGTGTTAAGGGATTTACATATGATGCCTCAGTTAATCCTTAAAACCATCCTGAATTGCACCCCACATCTTTTTTTTTTTTTTTGAGTTGGAGTCTCAATCTGTCGCTCAGACTAGAGTGCAGTGGCTGCTCCTGGCCACCGCAGCCTCGACCTGCTGGGCTCCGGCAATCCTCCCGCCTCAGTCTTCCAAGTAGCTGGAACTACAGGCGTGCGCTACCACACCCGGCTAATTTTTTGATTTGTTGTAGAGATGAGGTCTTACCAAGTTGCCCAGGCGCGTCTCGAACCCGCAGGCTCAGGCAATTCACTCACCTCAGCCTCCTAAGGCGCAGGATTACAGGCTGAGCCACCAAGCCCGGCTCACCCCACATCTTTAAAATAAAATAAAAAATTTTAAGACCACTCCAAGAGGTGAGTGCTACCAGCATCATTATACCTGGAGGACGCTGCCAGAGGCAACTTGCCTGGGGTCAGAGAACTTAGAATTTGTGACTCAACCCATGTCTGTCTAACCTCAAGCCCCATGTTCTTTTCTTGAAACCATGCTACTTCCCCTGCTTAAAAAAGTATTTATCCAATAAGTACTTTTTGAACATGTAACATATGTGAGACCTTGGGCCAGGTACTCCTTTTAAAAAACAGCTGTATTGCAATGTAATTCATGTAACATGCAATTCCTCCATTTAAAGCATACAATTAAATGGCTTTTAACATATTTGCAAATACATAGAGGGTACCCCAAAAATGTATACACATTTTAAGAAAGAAAAAAACTATATTAAAATTATAAGATGAATACAAGTCATATTTGACTTCTGCAATTGCAAGAGGTGTTCAAAGTAGGTAACTTACCATCAGCATCCAGACACTTCTGAAAAGTACTTCAAAAAGTAATACATAGATAACATCTCCTAAAATGTGTACACATTTTTTGGTACCCCTGGTATATTAAACACCTCAACCAGAAATCCAAAATGCTCCCAAATTGGAACTTTTTGAGTGCCAACATGACACTACAAGTGGAAAATTATGTACCTGACACCTTTGTTTTCTAATGGTTCAGTGTACACAAACTTTGTTTCATGCACAGAATTATTTAAAATATTGTATGAAACCACCTTCAGGCTATGTGTATAAGGTGTATATGAAGCATAAAAGGACTTTTATGTTTAGACTTGAGTCCTATCCTCAAGATACCTCATTATGTATATGCAAATGTTCTGAAATTCAAAAGAATCCCAAATCCAGAACACTTCTGGTCCCAAGCTTTTCAGATGAGGGATACTCAACCTGTATGTATAACCATGACCACAGGCAATTTTAGGACAGTTTCATCATGGGTTAGCTACTTCTTAAACCACAAGATTATCTGGTAGGCTGAAAGAGGTGAAAGGGGGTGGAGGGATGGTACAATATCTTCAGGTTTTTTCAAGAGCATGTGATTGTCAGGGTTGATTTTGTGTTAATTATATATTAGAACAAACCCAAACATAAGATGCAGAAGGAAAATTTGGTGCTTTTTTTTTGTTTTGCAGAATATTCAGTCAAGCTTGCTAGAAACACTCTATCGAAATCGATCCAACCTGGAGACCATTTTCAGGATCATAGACAGTGATCATTCAGGTAAAGGCACTCATCCTTCTATTGCTTCTGATACAGAGCAAGTGTTTTACCTCAGACCCTCTGGTGCCCCACCTGGTTCATTCTGATTCATCTCCACTCAGGCATCTGGGGAGCAAAGTAAGCAGCATCCGTGCTTATAAAAGCAGACACTGGCAATGTACGTGAGCAGTATACGCAGCCCATATAGAAAGGGGCGGGGCGGAGAAGAATGAACTGAATGAGCGCTTCCTGTAGGAAGAACAGTTATTAGAAGATGGCACGTACCTATCATTCCATCAAAGCCACGAACTACAGAAGAGTGTCTAGAACAGGAAGACATTTGCAATCTCACTCCCACAGTATTTTTTTTAAAAACCCAAAATTTTACATTTTGAAATAACTATGAATACACAGGAAGTTGCAAAAATGTACAGGGAGGTCCTGTACACCTTCATGCTGTTTCCCCAGTGTCCAAAGGCTTTTTTCAATGTTATTACTTTTATTATGAGGTATAACTCACATGTCATATAATTTACCCATTTAAAGCGTACGGTTCAGGCCGAGTGCCATAACTCATGCCTGTAATCCCAGCACTTTGGGAGGCGGAGGAGAGAGGATTGCCTGAGTCCAGGGGTTTGAAACCAGCCTGGGAAACTTGGGGAGACCCTGTCTCTACGATAAATCAAAAAAATTAACTGGATGTGGTGGAGCGCACCTGTGATTCTGGCTACTTGGAAAGCTGAAGTGGAAGGATCAATCACCTGAGCCCAGCAGGTTGAGACTGCAGTGGCCTTGAATGTGCCACTACGCTCCAACCTGGGCAAGAGTGAGACTCCTACTTAAAGAAAAAAAGTGTACAGCTCAGTGGTTTTTTGTATATGCACAAGGTTGGATAGCCATCATCACTATCTAATTTTAGAACATTTGTGTTACCCTAAAAAGAAACCCCATACCCATCACTCCCCATTACCTAACCCCTCTCCACTGGCCCCTAACAATCATTCTGTCTACTTTCCGTCTCTATGGATTTGCCTATTCTGGACTACATGGAATCATACAATATGTGGCCTTTGGTGCTGGGTTCTTTCATTTAGCATAATGTTTTGATTCATCCTTATTGTAACAGTATCAGTTCTTCATTCATTTTTTCTTTTCTTTTGAGTCAGAGTCTTACTCTGTTGCCCAGGTTGGAGTACAGTGGCATGATCACTGCACATGTCCTGATCTCCTGGGCTCAGATGATCCTTCCAACTCAGCCTCCCAAATAGCTGGGACTACAGACATACACCACCACACCTGGCTACTTTTTTGGGGGGGGTGGGGGGTTGGAGTCTGTTGCCCAGGCTGGAGTGCAGTGGCATGCTTACAGCCACTGCAGGCTCGACCTGCTGGGCTCAGGCAATCCTTCCGCCTCAATCTTCCAAGTAGCTGGAACTACATTCAGGCGCCACCATACCTGATAAATATTTTGATTTATTGTAGAAATGAGGTGTCACCAACTTGCCCAGGCTGGTCTCTAACCCTCTCGCCTTGGCCTCCCAAAGTGCTGGGATTACAGGCTTGAGCCACCATGTCCATCCCGCCTGGCTAATTTTAAAGAAAATTTTTTGTAGAGATGAGGTCTAGCGATGTTGCCTAGGCTGATCTCGAACTCCTGGGCTCAAGCAATCCTCCTGCCCCAGCCTCCCAGAGTGCTAGGATTGCAATTGTGAGCCACCGTGCCCAGCCCTTCATTCTTTTTTATGGCTGAATAATATTCCATTGTATGGATAGGCCACCTTTTGTTTATCCCGTCATCAGTGGATTGACGTTTGGATCACTTCTGTTTTGGGCTATTATGAACAATGGTGTTATGGCCATTCATGTACAACTTTTTTGTGTGAACATATGTTTTTAGTTCTCTTGGGTATGTACCTAGAAGTGCAGTTGCTGGGTCATATGATAATTCTGTGCTAAACTTTTTGAGAAATTACCAAATTGTTTTCCACAGCAGCTGAACCATTTTACATTCTCAACAACAATGTATGAGGGTTTCAACTTCTCTACATCCTCAACCAGCACTTGTTGTCTATTTTTTATTATAGCCATCCTATTGGGTATGAAGTACCACACGTGATTTGTTTTTTATTTTTATTTTTTAGAGACTTGGTCTCACTCTGTTGCCCAGGTCAGAGTACAGTGGCACAGCCATAGCTCACTGCAGCCCCAAATTCCTGGGCTCAAGCATTCTTCTTGCCTCAGCCTCCCAAGTAGCTAGAACTACAGGCAAGCGCTAATTTTTTTTTTCTTTCTTTCTTTTTTTTTTTGGAGACATAGAGACAGGGTCTCACTTTATTGCCCAGGCAAAAAAACAATTGACCATGGATGCATGGGCCTAAAGACTTCTTATAAGCAGAATAAATTACTATATGTTTGAGATGATTTTTTCTTTTCTTTTTTTGGGGGGGGGAGTTGGAGTCTCACTCTGTTGCCCAGACTGGAGTGCAGTGGCCACTCCCGGCCACTGCAGCCTCGACCTGGTGGGCTCCGGCGATCCTTCCGCCTCAGCTTTCCAAGTAGCCGGAATTATAGGCGCGCACTACCACGTCTGGCTGATTTTTTGATTTGTTGTAGAGATGAGGTCTCGTTGCCCAGGCAGGTCTCGAACCCGTGGGCTCAGGCAATCCACTCACCTCAGCCTCCCAAAGGCGTGGGATTACAGGCTGAGCCACCGAGCCTGGCTTGTTTGAGATGATTTACTGCAGGGTATCACAGCAGTGGTACTGTTGACTTTTTGTTCAAGGGTCCATCTCGTGCATTGTAGAATGTTTGGCAGCATCTCTGACCCTTATCTACTAGATGACAGTAGCATCTCATCCCCACCTCAGTCATGGTCATCAAAAGTGGCTCCAGCATTGCCTAATGTCCCTTGGAGGGAGAGGAGTAAACCGCTTCCAGTTGAGAAACTTTGGTGATCCAGTGGGAGTTTAAACTAAATACTAGACCTTGGATGTCTCTGTCAGCGGAAATGAACATCAAAAACTAGATGGACTCACTGACATGATCTCCTCCCTCTGATAAGGGTTCATCTCACTGGACGAGTTCAGGCAGACCTGGAAGCTTTTCAGCTCTCATATGAATATTGACATCACGGATGACTGCATCTGTGACCTTGCTCGAAGCATCGATTTCAACAAGGATGGCCACATCGACATCAACGAGTTCCTGGAGGCCTTCCGCCTTGTGAAGCAGTCCTGCTCAGAGGGCGACACCTCAGATTGTCCATAGCCACCACACCAACGACAATGGCTGTGGCAGCCCAGGCACACCAAGAACAGCCCGGCTCTCGTCACCCATGGTGCCTCGTAGACAATGCCAAGCTTGTCGCTGGAATATCTCCCGTGCTTTCCATAGATCTGTGGAATTTTATGCTGAGAATTTGCCTACCTTGCATCAGAATCGCCTATGTATTTGGGTATGGAGGGGTGGGGCGTGTGTGTGTGTATGTGTGTGTTTAAGTACATAGGCACCCCAGCCCCATCTCAGAATCTTTACAAAGTAGAATTCCAGTATTAATATTTTTAAACTCTGAAGTCTACTTAAGAGCTACTGTTAATTGAACCCCCTCATTGTTTGTATTTTATACCGTTCATTAACTTTTTAATATGTTATACTGGTAAAGGAAAGTTATAAAAAGTTGCATGTATAATCCCATGACCCAAACATACGGATTTTTTCATGGTTTACTTTTTCTTACTTGTAACTATAGTGTTTATATAATTTTTGTTCTGCTTTTTAAAAAATAAATTCACACCTAATTGTAAACACTTTCCCATGTTGCTCCATAGTCCTCATGATTATTAGTTGAATGGCTGCATAATTTTCTTTTGGATGGACGCACTACAATTTATGTAGTCATTCTTCAGTTGTTAAACATGTATTCTTTTCACTTTTTCACTATTAGAAATAGCCCTGTAATTAATAACACTGTGCATGTAGCTTGTTTTACAAAAATCTTTTAAAGTGTACATTTTCTTAGTATAAAATCTCAGAAATAGGATTACTTTATCAAAGGATGTTGTATTAGTCATTGAAACAGAACCAGTATGATATTTACATATACATTTACGATAAGGAATTGGCTCACATGATTGTGGAGGCTGAGAAGTCCTGAGATCTGCAGTTAGCAAGCAGAACCAGGAGAGCCCGTGGAGTGGGTTCCAGTCCACGACTGATTAGGCAGGAGAAAACTAATGTCCCAGCTCAAAGGCAGCAAGGCAGAGAGAATGCTTTCTTACTCAACCTTTGATTACATTCAGGCCTTCAACAGATTGGATGAAGCACACTCACCTTGCACAGGACAATCTGCTTCACTCAGTCCATGATTCAAATGTTAATCTCATCCAGAAACACCTCACAGACACACCCACAAATACTGTTTAACCAAACATCTGGGCATCATGTGGCCCTGTCATGTTGACAAATAAGCCATCACAAGTGTGAACATTTTAATGGCTTATATTTTAATTGAACATTTTATTTAATTGAACATTTTAATGGCTTATATTGCCAGGGCACTTTTCAAGACTGGGAATACCAATGTTACCCGTAAACTCGTAGTCTTTGATTGGTATCATTTCTGATTTTTGCTAAAGGTGAATGATAGTGCTTCTGTGGTGTTTTAATATGCATTTCTTTGATTAGTATCCCAAACTCCTCTACCTCATCTTATTTGCAAACAAAGGAAGTTGAGGTCCAGAGAACTTCTAGATATATGATCTAGTTAATAACACAGCCAGGACTGGAACCAATGTTGTCTGCCTCTGTCTAGGTTTCTTTCCAGTTTTTTGTTTTGGTTTGGTTTTTTTGAGTTGGAGTCTCAACTCTGTCGCCCAGGTTGAAGTGCAGTGGCACACTCACAGCCACCCACAGTATTGACCTGCTGGGCTCCGGCGACCCTTCCGCCTCTGCCTTTCAAGTAGCCAAAACTACAAGTGCGCACTACCATGCCCAGCTAATTTTTGATTTATTGGAGATGAGGTCTCACCAAGTTGCCCAGGCTAGTCTCAAACCAGCGGGCTCAGGCAATCCATTCGCCTCGGCCACCCAAAGTGCTGGGATTACAGGCTGAGTCACTGAGCCTAGCCAAGGCTAATTTTTTGATTTATTGTAGAGACGAGGTCTCGCCAAGTTGCTCAGGCTGGTCTCAAACCCCTGGGCTCAGGCAATCCTCTCACTTCAGCCTCTCAAAGTGCTAGGATTACAGGCTGAGCCACCGAGCCCGGCCTCTTTCCAGTTTTACCAGGGACTATATAATCCATTTGGATTGTCTATACGCAATCTCTGGTTCTCTTGCCTGCTTTTCTTGTGTGACAGACCCAAATGGAACCCCTTACCCCTAATGATTTCCCATGTCCTGGTATTCCTGCCTTTGTGTGACCAACCATCTCTCTCCACAAAGGGCGAGGATGGGTTAATACCGTCAAAAACCATGAAGCTCCACAAGGGAAAGTGATTGGTTGGTTTGAACAAGTCCTTGGCTTGTCAATTCAGGATTGGTTGGGTTGTAGTGGAGCTTACTGGGAGGCTGTGGAATCCTGAGTTCCTTTCCTGAGTTCAGATTGCCCGGTCACAAATTCACGCCTAGCTGTTGTGCTCATTCTAGCCGGCCTTCTGGGAAGCACTTGCCCTGCCGCCTTCTTCTTCTGTGGCAGTCACTCCTGGCTGTCTGACACCCTTCAGTCTCAGTGTCCCGCAAGTCCTAGGCATGCACGTAGGCTCAGAGAAATGTTCTTTATCAATTAGCACAGCAAATTAGTAGGGAGTGAGCTTCAAGGGAGTTTTAATTTCAAAGGAATATCTAAATGGAGCTGGGAAAAAAGTAGCAGTCATTCCTCTAATTCAGTGATTTAGCCTTGGCTACTAAATAAAATCATTGACAGGAACTTTTGTATCACACGATGCCTGTGGTCCCACTCCAAACCAGCTAAACCAAAATCTCTGGGTGAGAAGCCATGCTATTGGTATGTTTTTTTTTAATTTTTAAAATTTTTAGTTGACAAATAATTGTATACTTTCATGAGGTACAATGTGATGCTTCCTTGCATGTGTATGAAGCAGAATGATCAAATCAGGCTAATTAACATCCATCACTTTCTTTGTGGTTAGAACATTGAAATTTTTCTTTTTCAGCTATTTAGAAATATAGAAATTATTACTAATGATAGTCACTTGCTGTGTATAGAACCCCAGAACTTATTTTTCCTAACTGGAACTTTGTACCCCCGCCTCCAGCCTCTCTGGTAACCACCATTCTGCTCTCTACTTCTGTGAGTTCTACATTTTTAGTTTCCAAATCTAAGGGAGATCAGGTGGTATTTGTCTTTCTGTGCCTGGCTTATTTCACTTAGCTTAATGTCCTCCAGGTATATCCACGTTGTCAAAATGACAGAATTCTCTACTTTTAAAGATTGAGTGGTACCCCAGTCAGCATATGTCACAGTTTAAGAATCTGTTTGTCCATGGATGGGCACTTTGGTTGTTTCCATCTTTTGTCTATTGTGGAATAATGCTGCAATGAACACGGAGGGGTGTCAGACATCCCTTTGACATACTGATTTCAATTCTTGTGGATATATACCCAGAAATGGGGTTGCTGGGTCATATGGTAATTTTGCTTTTAGTTTTTTGAGGAACTTCCATACTGCCTTCCAAAGTCGCTATACTAATTTACATTCCCACTAAAAGTATACAAGTGTTTCTTGTTGTTACCCATGCCAGAATAGAGTGGCACAATCATGGCTCATGGCAGCCATGATCTTCTGGGCTCAAGTGATCCTTCTACCTCATCCTCCCATGTAGCTAGTACTATGGGTGCATGCCACCACACCTGGCTAATTTTTTTATTTTTGTAGAAATGAAGTCTCACTGTGTGGCCTAGGCTGGTCTTGAACTACTAGGCTCAAGCAATCCTTCCTCCTCAGCCTCTCACAGTGCTACGCCTGGCTGTTTATTGGTATGTTTTAAATGCTCATGAGGTGCTGCTAACGTGCAGCTAGGCTCAGTACCACTAATCTAACTGGTTTACCTTGTAATAGTACAGGGTGATTATTTGGTAAGGCCTTACTGCTATTTGCTTTGGCATAACTGTCAATAAGAGAGGTCAATTCAGAAACCAAACATTTTTGGATTTAGATGACTAACCTGCCAAATGTCCTCAAATCGTATTAATAGATCTGAGGAATCCTGAAGCAGACAGATTAAAACATAACTCTTCTCCAAGAATTATCAGTTTTTTAAAAATGGACATTGGCTATAATTTACTTCTTAAGAAAGTTGGGATATATAAATTGGTTGAGACAACATTCGTTCCATTCTTTAAAGATTTATGCGAATCCCACTGAGTTATTATAGGTTTGACTTGCAACTCCTCTCCCTTGGCTTTAGACCCGCATATCCAATTGTTTTCTAGGTCACCACATGATCATACATCCTCTATGGGCATCGCAAATACAACATGTCCGAATGTGTTGGGCAACTCGCCCCAAGCTGTTTGCCCCTCACTTTCTGTATCCCAGGTTGGTGCCCCCACTGTCCACTCTGCCTGTCACCTGAGCTTGACTTCTCTCACTCCCAGTCCCACCAGGTACCAAGTCTTTTTTCTTTTTTTTGTGAGTTGGAGTCTCACTCTGTCACCCAGGCTGGAGTGCAGTGTCATGCTCACAGCCACCGCAGCCTCAACCTGTTGGGCTCAGGGGATTCTTCCTCCTCAGTCTTCCAAGTAGCTGGAACCACAGGTGTGTGCCACCACACCCTGCTAATTTTTTGACTTATTGTAGAGACAAGGTCTCGCCAAGTTGCCCAGACTGGTCTTGAACCTCTGGGCTCAGGCAATGCTCTTGCCTTCATCTCCCAAGGTGCTGGGAAGACAGGTGTGAGCCGCCGCACCTGGCCAAAACAGTAAGTCTTAAAAGGAGAAACCAAGTCAAGCTCCTCTTAATTCCAGAATCTGTTACTAAGCCCACAAACACTTAAGGGTCCCCCTGAACTTTGCCTGGGGTCACCCATATGTGCCATCTTGCTTTCACTTCTGGGTGTCACATTTTACCAAGCCCAGTCCCCAATCCAAACACAGCCTGGCCCAATTAGACAGAGCAGTGATCCCTGTGACCCCAGCCCTGGTGGACAGTCTCTTAAAGAGCAGTCAGGATCACCAGCTATGACTGACACGAAGGGATACACACAGGGGGACACAGAGTGCAGGGATGACCCCTTGCAGGTATAAAGGT